AAAGCACTAATGAGACCTTTTTCTTAGCCCTAGGAAAAAGCACAAAGCTACAGCAAATTTAAACAAGGTTTGAAAACGAGACATGAAAGAAAAGTTGAAAAGCTAATACTTTCTTTCCAAAAATTGCAGTTCTAAGTCAAATAAAAATACTTAATTTCAAAGCATCTGATCAGTTGCAGTGATAAAACCAAAAAAAACAAAGTGCCAAAAACTCATTTAACGTGGGATAAAGGTAGTTTGTAAATAATATTTAAATACTCTATTATAAAAATAAAATAAAATTGAAATGCATGGGCTAATCTGTATAAATTATGCCTTGTTTGACTAGCATGGCTCTTTATATGTGAGTTGTTGGTAACGTGATGACAAATGAACACTATTGAAAGATAATAGGTTCAAGAAAGCATATTCTTATTCACAAGTGCTGATTTAGCTGTCAGTGCATTCTAGAGCATGATGACATGGTTTCCAGGTGTACAAAGAGCTTTTTTTTTTTTAAAGTCACAGCATTATGTGCATTTAATGTTTTTAAAAATTTGTCTGATGAGTGTGCAAGTTGGATAAAATGCTATGTGTTATCACACCTTTTATCACTGGTATTTTTTTCACACATTAAATTGAAATGGACTTGCATGTTCATTTTCAGCTTTCCCTTCATGCACACATTTTTCTGAGTTAATGTTTCATATTTGTTTTCATTTTTCCATTAATTTCTTCCTCTTCAGGTGCAATCTAGCTCCTGTGGTGGAGTTTGCTGCCGATGTGGGAACTAAATCTGATTTTATTACCATGAATCCATCAGTTGTACAAAGAGCGTTTGGAGGCTTTCGGAATGAGAGTGACAGAGAAAAATTTGTGCATAGACTATCCATGCTGAATGACAGTGTCCTTTGGATCCCAGCTTTCATGGTCAAAGGTGGAGAGAAGCATGTGGAGTGGGTTAATGCATTAATCCTTAAGAATAAATTGAAAGTGCGAACGGCCTATCCATCACTGAGACTTATTCATGCTGTCAGAGGGTAAGTGTGTGGAAAAGACTGGTCTGTCCTTAGCACAATGAAACTCATAACTAGAATTCCAAGCAGAGAGAAAAAAGCTCAGTGTTAAAAGGAGTATGTTATTTCCTTTATGGATTGCATTTATGAAAAGTTTGTAGAGTAATAAATGTCATCCACTCATTTAGCCTGCCGTAATGCAGACAACTGAAATGCATTAGCACAATAACTTCTCAATTTTGCTTTTATGTGCAAAATTTTTTTTTCATCATTATAGTGATAAGTTAATTTAAATAACAGTCTGAATTCAAAAGATATGTGCCAGTCATCAAATCAGAGTACAATGAAAGTACAACATGTCTACTTTGGGGCAAGACTATGAAGATAAAAATTAAATAGAATAGTGGGTAAGGTAGCAACTATATAAATAATAAAGTCTGGAAGATGTGAAAATACTGAGCTCCTTCATAAAACATATAGGCTTTGTAGCAATATTTCTTCTTTTGCGTTTGGCCAGGTGCTTGGGCCGTTCAAAAGCAGTGGCTGGAAACACTGAAATATAACTGTCATGAGCCATCACAAAAATATAACCATGCTTTATGCAGAGATTTGTTTTTAACCCCGTAATTAAACCAGACTGTCACATGAATGCACCAATGTCTTTGTCCCTACAAGCAAGAGTATATAGGGCTAGGCCTGAAAAATATTCACAAGATGATGGTCGTGCAATATGTTTGTGCAGCGAATTACGACAGCATAGTAATATTCAGCTTGAATTCCTTGAACTATATTGTCTATTTGTGGGGTTTTGGGAGATACTTTAAAGTACTGCTGTTAGCTTGTGCAGAAGTTGCTGAATATATAGCCATTCAAACAGCTACAGCAGAAGAGATAAATGTAGAGGGGATGATTAAACTTGTTGCCTCAATCTAGTGAGAGAATAATATCTATAACACATGTACAGGTGTAGTGGTTTTTGCGTGCATGTGTATGATTCTGCGTAAATAAGATTGTTTCCAGTTTACAAACAGCTGTTGTAATTTCCATCTGCTAAATCTGGGCGAAATTATAAAATGTGAATGGTAATTCAGAACATATAGTCTTTAAATTGGCCAGTGTGAAAGTCCTTTAGGAACCTTTGTCTTAAGAATAAAATTAGCACCTATATTGTCTCTCTGAAAGAAAGGCAACAAAAACTCCGCTGTCAAAATTAGTGTTGAAAATTTAGGCTATGCTGTATTTTGGGTTATACTTAGCAGTGCCATCTGATATGAACTGCACAGATTTGTCAAGTTGCTGAATCTGTGCTCTAAACTTTAGGTTTTCCACTTCAAACCTTGTTATTTAATCAACTTGCTTTTCCATTTTTGTTCTTGTGGGAAGTAACTGATTTTTATGTTACTGGATTTATTTGGGGGTTTTGTGTGTTTGTTTGGTTTGGTTTGATTTTTTGTAATTTGAATAAGAACAAAACAAGAAATACAATCTAGCTTTGGTCTAACTCGACTTTATGAAGTGAGTTGAATGAGGTGAGTATGTCTTCATGGGCCAAGTTTTGAAATGGTACAGTTAGCAGTAATACATTTAAAACAAATATTCTTTAGATGCCTTAGATATCAGTCTTAAAAACACTAGCCAATAATAATGGGCTTGGTATTGCAGCAAACTGAAAAAAAT